AGGACAGGAAGGCCTGGCGCGATGTGGTTCATGGGGTCACAAAGAGTCGGACACAACTTAATGACTGAACATCAACAACAAGGCTAGTATCAAGTCCTTGTGACATATTTGTAATATATGAGAGCCAGTTTGGTGTCATGGTGAAGGGGCTGGCCTAGAAACCAGGAGATGGTGAGTTCTAGTCCCACCTGAGGCATGAAAGCTGGTTGGGTGACTTTGGGCCAGTCCCTCTCTCTCTCAGCCCAACTCACCTCACAGGGTTGTTGTTGCAGGGGAAATTGGAGGAGGAAGGAGTATTAGGCATGTTTGCCGCCTTGAGTTGTTTATTAAAAATAAATTAATAAATAAAGGCAGGATAAAAATCTAATAAATGCATACAGACATACGTACATACGTACATACTGCAGCAAAAATATATAAGTGAGAATTGAGGTTTGCCTGAATTGGTGGTGAAGTGAGGTTGGAGGAACACATATGCCTTCATGCTAGGGGTTCAGTGGTAATGGAAGGGCTGAATCCACAAAAAGTGGCCAGTGGTGTTTTCCAGGCTGGAGGGATGTAAACATGCTTAACAAGGCCACCAAACAAGTTGCTGATTATCATTTCACTTGGAAATGGGGGAGAAGGTAGCACAGAGCTTAGACTCTGGATCATGAAGGGATGTAAAACTTTGTTCTGCAGCATGGTGAGATTCTGACTGAGCTAAGTTGTGTCTGTAACCTTCTGCCAAGAAAGCCTGTTCCTGAATAGTGGATTAATGGTCTGAAAAGCTGGGGTGTACTGCTCTGGTATGAAACCTGAACAGTTGGATGTTGGGTTACAGCCTGACCCCGATCTCAGAAGAGCTCAGGGCTTCTGAAAGTAGCTCCAGACAAGGGTCAGACACTTTGGACTGTCCCAATTCTGGTGGATCCAAATAGGTTCCTCTCTCACTCACACTTTCTTCTTCCTTGGCATCCTGAAGTTTTTATAAATCAGGAAGAAGCAAGTACCGTTTTGCACCGATATAGGAGATTCAACACTGGGCGACTTGAAGAAGTGCTCCAAGGAAGCCTTGAGCGAGAATGCATGGAAGAAGTGTGCAGTTATGAAGAAGCAAGAGAAATATTTGAAAATGATGAGAAAACAGTGAGTCGCATGATGGGAAATCTGGAGTTTTGATGAGGGGGGAAGCCTTTCAGGCAGTCTTATTCATGTTTCCTCAGAAGAATCCTGTTAAATCCAGGGGGGGTTGTAGTGTTTATTTAGAAGTTAGAATGTGCTCCAAGCTCAAACAAACATCTGGAAAGTTAAGACAATTCTCTGCTAAAGTAGCCCAGATTAGCACTGAGTTTCGCAGACTGAGGTCCTTTAAGCAAATACCGTTGTCCTTAGATAAGCTGTATTTTTGCTTTTTTAAAAAAAAACAAACTTTATTAAGCTTCTGATTTGGGTGGAAAACATGGGAAATGGCAATTGAGTAGGATGCCAAAGTTGTTGGAAATCTTTCTTCAGTAGCGTTTTGGGCTTCTATGTCCCATTAGGTCAGGTCCTGATTTATACAGGTACATCTTTGCATCAAGACAATTTGATTTCTTTTATTTATTTGATTTCTTTTATTTACTGTTTTCTTTAAAGGAAGGGTTTAGTAGGAAAAAGAATGCATTCTTGGAGGTTTTGGGTGAACACGCTGTCCAGTTTTCTACCTCTGACTAGATACGAACCGGGCTCGATTGTAACTTCTTGTGCTCAGGATGAAAGCCCCTCAGTGTCTCTTCTGAATGGACCCTGAGTGTAACTCTTTCTACAAATGCATCATCAATGTATTGATTGATTAATTTGCAATATTGGTACATCACCCCCATCAAAATAACAACTCTGGGTGGTTAAAACAAAGAACGAGGCAACAATAAAATTATGCGCTATCAAAGAATCCTTGTGGAATACAGAGATAAAAAATATAGTCATTGTCTTCATCTATTAAAAATAAACTGTTTATATATTTAAAAGCCTTTCTGTCTGAATCCCATGTTACTGCTTTCTTTGCAGATGGCATTTTGGACTATATATCTTGGTAAGTGATCTCTTTTTCCCCCCTCCCACTTTAATGGTGTGATGGAGCTCATTGTTCAAAATAAAAATATTTGTGTTAAGGCAGGGTTTACACAGTGGCAAATATTTGGGATCCCCATATTCCTGCAGTTTCTAGTCCAAATATCTCTTCATCCTGACCAGAACTGAGTTTGCAAAATACAAGTGCAGTTAAAATGCTGTCAAGGGAGAGAAGATCCATGATAGGATGTGTCTCGGGTTACATGAGATACATCCTGTCACATCCCAAGGAACCTTTGGGCATGTGATGGAAGTGGATGATAGGATGACTAGAGAAGAGGATTACGCTTGGTGAGACAGGATTAGAGGAAGAAGAAGAAAACAGAGTAAGAGGGATGAGGGGATTGAAGAGATAATGGAAAGGTTCTTGTAAGCGCTATGAACTGTCACCAAAGACAGGTGTAGATGCGATTTGTCTGGAGTTTGAACTTGATTCAGTGCAACCTGTGAGGTGGGTGGCTATATAAATCATAAACAAACCAACTTAAGCAATGGATCCAAAGTTTTTCATTCAGGGAGATAAGCCCACCTCACCTCACCCCTTCCCTTCTATTCCATTCACAAAAGCAGACTGGCTGACGAAACAAGCTTCAACAGTGGGACAGCTTTCTTTCCCACATCTGAAGGGGAATAGGATAGCTTTGGGGATTTAGGAAGACTGTGGGAGGCCCAGCTTTCTCCCCCACATTATGGTGTTACCTTGTAGCATCTACCATCAGAGATTATCATCTCACTTTCACTAATGGTAGGGCTGGAGCTGACCTTTAGGAAGGTCCATGTTGAATTTCAAATGTGAGAATTCTAACAGGAAGCATTGTGGGTCCTGGGAAAGCCCATGACTCTCTTCAGATCCCTCCTGGTCCTTCTTCTCTTATGGACTAAAGTACGTGAACCCTGAAAAATGATGAATAAAATAAGAATAAAGCCAGTCAGCCTATGGAGCAACCTGTGTTAATTGTTCATTCTTCTTTCCAAAGATGGAGATCAATGTGAGTCCAACCCTTGTAAGAATGGAGGGCGTTGCAAGGATGACAGAAATGACTACACCTGTTGGTGTCCAGGTGGTTACGAAGGAAAGAACTGTGAATTAGGTACATTAATGGGGAGACATTAATCTTTTCTTTTGTTATGACATAATGGAATTTTTTCTTTTCAGTTTCAGCAAGGAGCAGCATTAGCTGGGGTCCTAAAATTAGTACCTAGATGGGAGATCACTAGGATATCTCAGGACTGGGAAGTCAGAGAAAGGGGGGGGGGGGAAATCACAGAAGACAAGGATAGGCTACTTCTCTGTTGCTACCAGGAGTTGAACCCAATTTGAAGAAGACTTCACCTTTTGACTCCTGCATATTTTAGGGATACTGAATGTCATTCAGTATGTTTGTGTGTATCTCTATATGTTGCTGAACTACAACTCCCATTCTTTCACTAGTGGCCATCTTAGAAGTTGTAATTTAGCAACATCTGGAGTGCTACATGTTGTGCGTCTCTGCTGTAAACACACACACACTCCACATACATATATCAGGGTTCATGCAAACCCTAATATACTCATGTTTTCTCTCTCAGACACCGACTCCCTAGAGTCAGGGGATAAGCATCATTGGGTGCTTTAGATTAAGTCTTTTTTCACTGCCTCCATCCTGACCTTTCAAGTTCTGTTCTCAGATTTTAAGCTTTGATTGATTGATCATGTGCCATCAAGTCATTGTTGACTCTTAGTGACCACCTAGATAGATTTTCTCCATGATAATCTGCCCCCAACCTGGTCCTTGAGGTCTCCCAATGATGTCCCCATTGCCACTGTAACTGAGTCCATCCACCTTGCTGGTGGTCGTCCTCTTCTTCTCCTTCCACCTTTCCCAGCATTAGAGCCTTCTCTAGAGAGCTGGGTCTTTGCATCATGTGTCCAAAGTCCTTAAGAGGAATATCTGATTTTTTCCCCCCATTCCCTCAATTAGATGCTACCTGCAGTTCAAAGAATGGAGGGTGCAAACAGTTTTGCAAGGATAATGAAGCAGGGAAAGCCGTTTGCTCTTGTGCTGCAGGATACAAGCTGAATGAAGACCTGAAAACCTGTGAGCCAGCAGGTATGGTAAATGTTGGAAAGCAATGCAAAAATTACTCATAAGAATATCATCATGCTGGATCGGGCTAAAGGCCTTTGTAATCCAACATTTTGTTTCTCACCATGGCCAACCAGATATTTCTAGGGTGGTCTAATGCAGTGTTTTTCAACCTCAGCATCTTTAAGATGTGTGGACTTCAACTCCCAGAATTCCCCAGCCAGCACGCTAGCTGGGGAATTCTGGGAGTTGGAGTCCGCACATCTTCAAGGTGCTGAGGTTGAGACACAATGGTTGAATGGAAACATCCAAAGTTCTTGTGGTTCCATCCTCATTAAGTTTTGCAAGTGCATGTTCATGACTGGGGTGCATGACTGGGACTTGATAAGAAAAGCCACCTTGTTTAAAGCATCCTCCTCCCCCACTCCCCCAGTGCTTACAAAACTCTCTATTTGCACCAATGTAGTTAAAGATCCAGAGAAGAGAACCAGGGCCATACTCAGTTGGGGGTGGGGGGTGGGGGGGCGTGGGGATAAAGCAATATAGAACCTCTCTGTTCTGCAGCTCAGACTTTGTGGACTGGGAGATATACTTATTTAATCTGACACCCACTACTCTGAGCCAGGAGCAAGAATGTCCTTTTAGGATCAGTCAGAGGTGTATTTACATCTGAGTTCCAAACAATCAGGGATCCACGCCTGACACCAATTGCTCTAATACAGGTTGGCTGAGAAACCAACAGTTGGTCAAAGGCAACCAACTGACCTTAAACCTAATGTTCAGGGGAGGAGGATGGAAGATAAGCAAGTGTTGAGGATTTGAGTAGCTCTTTCCTTTCTTACTTGCTCTTGTTGAACTCTTAAGACTCATGATAGAACCTGTTACTAACCTACTGCCAATCCTCTCAGAATCTAAGGGTAGATCTTGCTCTATCTTTGGTTGACACTAAGATTTTCAAGAATCCAGCTTTCCAGGTGTGTTTTTTTCCCCCTCCCCACTTTGGTATCTTCCTTAGTGCCCTTTCCCTGTGGAAAGATCCAAGCTCCAGAAGCCCTGACTAAATACACTCGCTCACATCCATCAAACACATTTGATCATTGGATCATCTTGAATGCAACCACTGATGACTGGGAGGAAGGCTACAACAGCACTCAGGTTTCCTTTCAGACTGGACATCGGACTCGAGTGGTTGGCGGGATGGAAAGCAAGAAAGGAGAGGTTCCATGGCAGGTAGGACATTAGAAGAGTATATATGTAGCTCAGGGTTGAACTGTGGAGTCCTTGGGGTTCTCTGAGCTTGGTTGTTTTCTAAAACAACCAGGCTCAGAGAACCTCAAGGACTCCACAGGTAGGACTTTGGTCTTGTCCACAATTGCTCCAGGGTTGCCTGCTCTCCATCAGGGAAGTTGCAGAGAATTGATGCTAAACTTTACAGGTTGTCCTCACTTAGCGACCACAATTGGGACCAGAAACTCTGTCGTTAAGTGAAGACATTGGTAAGTGAAACCACAACTGGGCTTACAATCTGACTTCAGCTCTCTTTTGCTTTACAGTCCCGTGAAGGTTGTAAATGCAAGGATTGGTTGTAAAGTTACTGTTTCATCACCATCGTAACTGTAAACGGTCGAAGCAGTCACTAAACAAGGACTTTTTTTTTTCCTGTCCTCGAGTCAGTCTTGACTCCTGGCAACTGCCTGGACTAGTCCCTGCAGTTTTCTTGGCAAGGTTTTTTGGAAGTGGTTTGCCCTTCCTTGTCTCCTTCCTAGGGCTGAGAGAGAGGGACTGGCCCAAGGTCACCCAGCTGGCTTTGTGCCTAAGGCAGGACTAGAACTCATGGCCTCCCAGTTTCTAGCCTAATACCTTAACCACTATACCAATCTGACTCTCAAACGAAGATTACCTGTAGTTTGATAAAGCCATCTGCTGGGGCCAAGAATTGGACAACAGACTTCACTTGGAGTCTGATCAATGCAAAATAAAATGGCATGATTTCTTCCCATGCTTTGAGAAATACAGTTTTGCTTAATTAGGGTTCAAAGAAAGATCTGGGGGATTGTAACCACTGCCACCCAGTATAGTGCCAAAATTGCTCTTTGTACAGCCGTGTACGTGTGATACGTCCATGTGGGGAAATAGAAACAGTACATACTTTTCAGCAAATCTTGTGCAAGCTAGGAGTGCACGCACCCACCTTTTTGTATGAGTGGCTCAGCATTTCAGTTGCCTTTCCAGAAGATTCCCATGTGGTTATAAATCTCATATTTTTGTTGTCAATCGGTTTCATCTTTTTTTGAAAAATGGCTCTAATCAATAAAGCCAAGAGTGAGGTTTGAATTCACTGCAGTTGGAAAGAGAGAGCAAAGGATTTGAAGATTCCGGTCAACATCTTCACCCTCCCTTCTCGATTCTTCCTGGGAATTTTCAACCAGCTGCCTGAAACTGGCCAGGTTGAACGTTTCAATTACTTTATTTCATCACTCTTCAGCCATCCAGTGGCTTCATCGCTTCTGCTGGGCAAATGCACATCAGGGGCTGGCTTGACCAATGGCGACACAGAGAAATGCTTTGGCAAAGCAGGATCCTAGCATTCTTTAAACCAGTTCATGAATAAGTGGATTAATGCAACTGGGTCATTTTTCTCACAATAACACAATTCAAGATGCGGCAGAAAAATTGAATTGAAGCATGTTCTGCCTTTATAACCCCAAAGTCCAATGGAAATTGTATCAGGACTTTGCTGAGAGTTAATGACAAAAATTATTCTTTGCCCAGTTAACTTCACTTTGCTGCCATCTAGAGGCAACTGTTCTCATTACTGGTTTAAAGGAACTGAGACTGGCTTCCAAGAATATTACCCATAGTAATATAATACAGCATATTCTGATGGATTGGGAATTGGTTATGTTAGTTTTGTTCTTTCTGCAACAGATTCATCTGTTCATCTGAGCTATTTTATTGTATTTTACAAATCCCCCCTGATTGTGATGTTGTAATAACATTGCCTTGACTTTCATATTAACCTGATAAGGTCTATCCAAAACCTGGTTACTGTTGGCAACACTGAAATGCTGATAAACCCAGGATATTCTGTGAATGGCCAGAAATAAAGCTATTTATCTACAAGGCTACAGAACAGTTTGGAGGCCCTCACAGAATACTCAACAGTCAACATTCACTTGTAGTAAAGCCAGCTTCAAACTCAACTCCTTCAAATTCAACTTCAAAGCCAACTTCTGATGACTTCATGGACACATTCATGTCACTGCAACAATATGGAAGTGGTTTGCCACTGCCTTCTTCTGAGACACTTTTTCAACTTCCCAGGTCTAGCCTACAGCCCCTGGACTTTCTGGTGGCTTTTCATCCAAGGAACCAGGCCTGACCCTGCTTAGCTTCCAAACCCAGACAAGGGTAGTCAGGTGCTGTCACCTGCCAAGATATTCACTTGCGCTGGCCAAAATTCCAGATCCCTAAAGGATCAGGCCATCAGCAAGCACAGTTCTGGCTGTTTGTCACCCATCATGTTCCACCAGAAGCTTTCGGGAAGCCCACGTGCTGGAGAAGCATGAGGTCACACGCATTTCATCACCAAGATTTTGGCTTTCCCTGTCAAAATGGGACTTATCATTGAGTTCCTCTGTTCTTACAAACAGTCCTTGATTTGCTATGTTTACTTTCTGTTCCCAGGTTTATTTGCTCAACTCAGAAGGTAGAGGATTCTGTGGAGGCACGATCGTCAATGAAAAGTGGATCGTCACGGCAGCTCATTGCCTTGAATTTCAGCCACGAAGAATTGTAGCGGGTAAGCAGTTAACTACTCCTCTGTTGGAAGTACCCTTTTCCTGGCTATATTTTTACTTAGTGTTGCAGTGATTTTGTTTATGACAAAATCCAAGAGGCAGTGGGGGAGGAAGAAACGGGCAGAAGTGGCCGACATAATTGAGCATCAACGAACAAGAGAAAGAACTCTCCTTCAAGAATTTTGGTATCTTGCAAGGTTTGGGGTGAGAATACAGAGTCCTCCTAAGTCCCTGGTCAGTAGTAGTAGTAGTAGTAGTAGTAGTAGTAGTAGTAATTCTTCTTCTTCTCCTTCTCCTCTTCCTATCCAGGTGAACACAATGTGAATGTTGAGGACAATACTGAACAATATCGCAACGTGGTTAGGGCAATCCCTCACCCCACATACAATATAACTAACAAGTACCACAATGACATCGCCCTCCTTGAGTTGGACGCACCTTTGGAGTTCAACCATTATGTCATCCCAATTTGCATTGGAGACAAAGAGTTCACCAACAGCCTCCTTAAGTATGGATTGGGCACTGTGAGTGGATGGGGGAGACTGGCTTACCAAGGCAGGCAGGCGAGCATCCTACAGGTGCTGCAAATCCGGTTTATTGACCGACCAACCTGTCTGAAGAGCAGCAGTTATCCCATCTTGGCGAATATGTTCTGCGCAGGTTATTCTGATGAAGCCAAGGATACTTGCCAAGGTGACAGTGGTGGCCCATATACCACGGACATTGAGCACACATGGTTTCTGACCGGGATCACCAGTTGGGGGGAAGATTGTGCTAAGAAGGATAAGTATGGAATCTACACCAGAGTTTCCAGGTACATTAAGTGGATAAGGGAGACCACAAGACCTAAATAAATTAATCCCAAGTCCAAACAGAGTTCTGCTTCCTTTCTTAAGAATCATTCAGTTGTGGAACAGGGGATCCACATGGAACTGTAACTACTTCACACAAATACTTTTAGAGAATTAAAATCATCGAACGAGTGTATATAGGAAAGGACTTTGAAGATCAATTCGTCCAGCCCCTTGCTCAGTGCCAGAATCCTGACTATCACATTTTTTTAAAAAAAGAGGAAAAAAATGATCAGGGAAATGCGATTTGTATGAGCAAAGGAAATTAAAGGCATAACAGCCCAGTGGGTAAAATATTTAGTTTGGATCACTAAGTTTGAAACTCAAGAACCAAGGGAGGGTGGTTTTCCATAAGTTCCCTATCATTTATTATTAAATGTGTGTTTCACAAAGTTGCTAACAGAGCTAAACACAGTATTGAAAAGCGCACGGGGAAATTAACAGGCAGATGCATTACAACGTCAAATTAGCTCTCGGTGCGATTATTATGCTTTGCAATAGGGCATAATAAAACCAGAAATGAACGGCAACATGAGAAAAGGACGCCCCTTTCTTCCGAATGCAAGCAGCACAAAACTCTCTGAACAAAATGAAAAGTCTTCAGATATATTTATTTAACAAGGCTCATAATTCTTTTTAAATATAGATTTAGCTCATTCTTACAACGGCATTTACAGAATACTTCAAAGAATTGGACAGGGACGAGATCTCCCACTGCCAAGACATCTCAGGATAACATCTACATTTTACATCAGCCCATTTTGAGAGGCTGTCAACAGTTTGTGCAAAGTTTTCAAAGTTTAGAAGTGCAATCCTATTCGCATCTACTGAGAAGTAATTCCTACGGAGGGGTCGGACCGCAGCCTAAAACTTTAGATTCGGACTTGCTGTGTAGGTAAATCGAAGCATGTACAATTTAGAACCAGGTAGACAAAAGTTAAAAAGATTGGACTGTGCTGTACACATGAGGATGAAAACTTTTAAAAATAACCTCCCTTCAGGTAAGCAGGCCTTCCCACTGTAATGAACTCATCCTCATTTTACACTTGTAGTGCAGTGATTTCAATGTATTCCATATACAAGCGAAAGGATGTGAAAATGGCCTGTTTAGGAATTCTCTCAAGGAATTCCAGAAGCAGCGTGACCTTCAGCAAACTGGGAAGGTGTGTACACGTGGAGATTGCAAGAAGCACAGAAAAAAATGCACAACAATATTCTCAGAGGACCATGTGGAATCTGGGGTTCAGGAACAAAATTAGAGCCCTTCCCTCCCCAGACCAAATGTGACACGTAGAGGAACACAGATCAATGGCAACTTGTACTGAGAGAGATCCTTTTGCGTTGATGCACCCCATTCACTGCCCTGAGCTGTTGTGCATAGCCTGGTCACAATAATTACCCTGTGTTTAGGAATGCGTTGGGAAGTTAAATTTGTAACCGTTATCTGTAGACACCAAATTACCTGAGTCTACAAAGAAAAATAAAAAAAATAATGAAGACGCACCAGAAAATAAATTATGGAAACTCACTTAAAAAGCAGAGGACATTCTATCCTTGCCCAGATACAAATTCATTCTTACATAAAGGGCCCTGAAGCATATAGTCTCACTACTAACAAGGACAACCTTAACACATTTAGTGCAAATGGATGTGGAACTCAGTTATGGCACATATGTTCCCCCCATCCCCCTAAAAAGTACCGTGCAAACTTTGCTAGACCCCCGGCCAATATAGAGGAATCCATAGTGAAATGCCTACAAACTCGAGCTGCAATTGACGAAGTCCTGAGACACAGCCCATGTATGTCGGAGTCTTTCTTAGACTCTTGACAGCAAAAAGAAAATGACATTTCACTGATCTCAAGGTTCCTGCAAAACCTACTGAAGTTGGCTTATTAGGGCAACTGTTTAGTTGAGACCCAGCTGACTCTAATCAAGACCAGCCAATCCCAACAAAGGGTGGTTGGAAAAGGAGAAAGCACACCCTTCAACTCTCCCCAAAGCCATGGAAATAATCAAATGCCTTCTCAAAGGAGATGCCATGGAGAGGAAGATGAGGTCGCATCCTTAGGTCAAAACAAAATGGTGGTTTTCCACAGGTGGGAGGAAAGGAAAATGAAAAAGAAGAGGAAAGAATGGCTCCCAATGATGGTCACAATGAAAGCTGGTGAGGGTGTGGTGTTTCGATGATGAAAAGATAGTTTCCTTCGAGTCGAGGTCAATTCCTGATGACTACAGGGATACGTCCATAGAGTTTCCTCAACAATAGCACATAAGATGTTTGCCATTGTCTTCTTCTGGAAAGTTGTCCAACTTCCCATCTAGCCTAGAGCCCTGATGTTCTCCCATCCAAGTACTAACCAGGCCTGATCCTGCTTAGCTGCTGAGACCAGACCAGCCAAGTGCTGTCACCTGCTTAGGATGATGGAGGACAGAGTAAGTCTAATGGCCCTCTCCGTCCCTTGTTACCATTTCAGGCCTCCACTGGAGTATTCCCAAAGGGCTTGGCCTTAATTCGTTAAATTCAGGGGGAGCTTAATTTCCTCATCCTATCCTGGGCAGCGTCTAAAAAGCAATGGAGAGCAGCATTAAATGTCAGAAGGCACAGATCCCAAGAGCGCATGGCTCCTTGGTGCTAGGTCGTTCTCTTCCACCCCCAGATCCCTAGCTAAGGGAATGAATCATAAACACGATCACTTTGTGGTTGTCAAAAGCCACCAAAAAGGAAATCTTTACCTGCCTCTTTAGCAGACGGCAGGCAGGACCCAAATTAAGGCTATTTGCACATGAGCTGGCAACTGAAAATCTTTAAAGTGCATAGAAAGTGCAATTGAGTGCTTTGCAAAGCTACCGATCAATTTTTCGGGCCACAGTGTCCCTCCCTCCCAGCACCTGCAACATTTTATCAAGCAAGCCTGCAAAAAGTTGATGCTCAGATCCTCCTCTCTTCAACCCAAATGTAAATGAGAAAGCTTGCTTGATTTATATTGATGCAGGCTTTCATGGCCAGTGTGAATCCAATGGTGATTAGCTTCAGGGCTAATAGGCCATGGTCTAATTATGTGGTATCCTGACATTTTGCCAGCCACATGGCTGGCATTTTCAGAGGCGAAGTGATGTGCTCTGCAGCACCCTTCTTGGCAGCTCACCAAGCACGAACTGACTGAGCTGTAACTGAGTTAATCTCTAATTGGACCATGTCAGTTCTGAAAAGCCAGTTTCTGGTTGTTTCTTCGTCCTGGTGAATTTATAATTGGTCTGATTTGAAGACATTTCAAAGGAGCTCATTTTTGATTGGTCTGTTTTACATACCAGATATGTATCAGGAGACAAGATAATTAGACTGTAGCCTATTAGCCTGGATCTGCACAACCACTGGACTTCCTTGACTTCTTTAGCATCTGCTTGGAAAAGGCGTACAAACCCATTCATTATTCTCAAAGGAAGTTTTCTCCCACTGAAGTAATATTTCCCTAGATCACTTCAGTCTGGGGTGCTCCATACCAACATTTGACAACGTGGCCCCCAAGCATAGCCTGATATAGTCCCATCAATGATTTGATAAAACATTTGAGGTGGAGAAACAGAAGATGGTAGGCAAGATTTGGCAAATTCAGGTGCTTTTTTAGGACAGTGTTTCTCAACCTTGGCCACTTTAAGATGTGTGGACTTCAACTCCCAGAATTCCCCAGCTAGGGGAATGACAAAGGGAGTATCTTATTCCTGCTATTCATGGTCTGAATACTATTTTCAGTCAAATCTCAGTATCAATGAAGAAGAGAAAATAGGAACATGAAAATCCTATGGTAGCTAACATGGAGCACAAACTGAAGCAAATGGAAATCTTTTGTACACCATCAAGAGTTGTAAGCGATTGCAACACTGTGAAAAATTGAATAAATCAAATAAATCCTCTTAAAGATATAGAAACGGCTTAAAATATTTAGAGCAAGTAATCATGAATGTCACATAAGCATTCCCATAGAATGGGAGAGCCGGTCTCTTTCCATAACATCCAAGGCTCGGTTTCTATCACCCGCTATTCTTAGAATCGCATTTATTTCCGCTCGTGAAAAACTGACGCAACTTTAGGAATGTCTATGGCCATGACAGCAATGCAGGTGATAAAATGCAACCTTTTTAAAAAAAAAAAAATGCAAACTCGGGTTCTCTGCACAGAATCTTAGCAAACCATCTTCATTTTCAGTCTGAACAAGCAAGCATGCTTCTGTTCCTCATCACTTACAGACCAAACACATAACCCATGCATTCACAACTGGCAGAAGGGAACGATTCTCATAGGCACATCTGTTACCCAGCGGCAAGTCGCAGATATGGCTTGCCTAGACCGGACGTTACGTCCTCTCATTCAAGTAGGTGGTTTTTTTTTTCAAGTCATGGTCAGTTCATTTGTTGTCCTCCAAATAAACCCATGAGAGAAGGAAGAGGACAAGGAAGAAAGAGGAGGAGGGAGGAAGAGGGGAGAGTATATTAGAGAGGAGGAGGCGGAGGAGGAGGAGGGTTTAATACTATTGCTAAGTGCTAATTTCCTGGAGCATATTAGGAAGAAGGAGGAGAAGGAGAAGGAGGAGAGGAGCAAAGAGGAGAAGAAAAAGGAAGAAGGCGTGCCTAATACTATTGCTAAATACTAACTTCCTGGAACATATTAGATTGTTGATCTCTCTCCACCCTCTGCTTTATCTTAGCCAAAGTCAGGATTATCCTAAGCAAGCAAGCAAAGCAGTGCCCCGCCTCCACACTTCTGCGCATGCCAACGCTGAAGCCGTTCAGATGAGCGAGTCACTTGTCATCACAGGAATACCTGTGACTCTGGTGCTCCGAAACCTACAGTCCCCGAGGATTATCTGCAGACTGTTGGCGGGCACCCAGCCTTCTTTACTTCGGTTGAGGTTTTTGACCAACCTTTCAGATAAAGAAAGGACGGGGGCGGTGAGGATGAAACAAGCAAGAGAAAACTCTTTGTAAAGCTGTAGAGCATTCTTTCAACAACTACTACTTGCTTCCACCACTCACTGTCTTTTGTAGACAAGAAGAAGGGTGTCTGGAGCACCTACCACTGTCCCTCTCCATCTTCATGTAAGAGCTGAATGACATCCCCGTTCTTCACCAGAAGTTCATCTGAATCCCTCTTCTTGCAATCTGCTAAGGCTTTGTATTTTCCTGGAGACTAAAACATGAACAATATATAGATGATTCACATCAGAGGTATAATGCTCCACCTTAAAATGTACTGTTCTGACTTCAAAATGGGCTCTTCTGAGTGATCCAGAAGCAGTCCAACCATGGTACAGAACATCTGGCACCACTGCAACACTCAGAACAATGCTTTCCCCAGTTGGGTCATTCCATGGTAGACCGTTTTGCATAGCTCTGATTTAGGACAGCCTCCCCCCCGCCTGTTGTTGTGAAGCTGGGCCGGCCTGCAGTTCCCGGTATCCCACCCAATGTCCCCACTAACCAGCTGGTTGCCATCTTCTTCTTCAGTGTCGGAGCAGGTTGAGAAATAATGGTGGCTAGACCACTCTTCAAGCCCTTCACAGATCTCTAATGAATGGGATGTCCCTGACCAAGCTGCATGAGAGGGGAAGAAATTATCCTCTTGTTTTAAGACGCCAAGCTACTGAAAACACCACCTCCTTCCACGACCTTGTTCATAGCACTAGCTTTAGGATCATCAGCTTTAGATTTTACCAGCCCAAAGAAACCTGGTTGGAGCAGGGCCTTTTTGTGGTGGCACCTCAGTTTTAGAATTCCTTCCCACAAAAGGGAAACAAAGTCCACCTTTACAGATGGCCCACTTCTTCCTTCCATTGGGTTTGCAACATCCATGGTTTACCCTTCTCCGGCTTTTTGCATTGTTTCGGTTTGGCCTCTAAACATGCTAAAAGGGTTGGGAAAACACAGGTTTGAATTTGGATCCAGGTGAAGACAGAAAGGTAATCTGGAAAGGTTCTTATATGTTTGTTCAATTGAGCTTGCTGAGCAATGCTCTTGCCACTCTATACTACCGGACACTCCATCACCCTTCTTTTGCCCTTTGCAGTCTTTGCCACCAGAAGCCACAGCAGATACCTCGTGGCTGAACACAGTTCCCTGGAGGAATAGCCCCCATTTCTCCCTGAGCACCACAAGTCCAAAAATGCCCCCCAAAGCCCCCAAATTTGCATTGCACCTCCCGTTGTAGACTACCCCCTCAGACCAAAGTACCATTCCCAAGCCCCCAAAGGTGGTCTGTGGGTGACACAGTCAACAAACAGAAGGAGAAAGAGAAGAATCCAGAGGGATACATACATCTTGGTTTGTCCTGAGCAGAGGAGGCTAAGCCCTCCACAGCTATGGGGCTGGTATGTTCAGAGTCATTCTCCTCTGAGCTTACAGAAGCTCTTGGCTGTTTCCTGAAAGCGCACAAAGTCCATTCAGAAGATCAGAAGGAATGAGACCGAGGCTGAAACATCTGCTTTGCATTTTTTACAGGTCTGACTTAATTCACGTTTCCAGGGTCAACAGGGGAACGCAAGACAATTAACCTTTGGATTGTATGCTTTTCCAGATTTTGTGATCCAGGACTCAACTTGAAAATGGAATGAATCAGGAAAAGTTGTGTGACAAAACATGCCGATTCTGAAATTTTCCATGCAAAAATGCATATATATTGAAATCTCTTTTTAACTGGGGGTGGGGATTGGGGGACCATCTCTTATCCACAAATGTTCACTGAATGGGAGAGTATTTCATTCAGAGCAGTTTGTGGCATTTGCATAAGGACATCATTATGCAAATGGCACAGATGATGTCATTGGCAACATTTATGCAAGGATGTCACCCTGCAAGCATGTCATTTGGGTAATCATGTCCTTAGGCCAGTGACAGTAATCCGCATGGAATATTGGTTTTGCTCCACGCAGTGTCCATTAAACTGAAGTCTGGTGAAAGTTTCACTGCACCGGAGAAGATGGCCTATGAAAATAATGATCTTGCAGGTTGGGATATTTTTTTAAAAAAACTCAGAACAATATGGAAATTGGACAGGGTGAATTTATGAATAAGATAGATGAGTTATCCAAAGCTTGCTTTTTTTTTTTTCCCCCTTGACTTACCCATCACTCAACGGAGGAGAAACCTGAATTGTATCAGTGCACAAAGGTGATACTTGCTTCTCAACTGTGAACACGATACAACATTGTATTAGTTCCGTATATTTTGTTTACCAAACGTTCACACAACTAGAAATGGGGAAATTTATTTTTTTATTTAATTTATTTATTTATTACATTTTTCAACCGCCCATCTGCCCCCAATGGGGGAACTCTGGGCGATTCACAACAAATTGTCAATATCCAAGTCTGGGAGAATAACCCTGGACTCGATCTTTTGGTCAGATCCAGGAAATAAATTGGATCAAAAGCTTCATAAAGCTCCCACTAATATTGACATTGGTTAATGGGTATGGATTTAATGTTTAGCTTTCTAAAAATGGACATCCATCTCCAGTTCAGAGTCTGGAGTAAAAATCACCCAGGTTTTGTATATTTCATGAATAGTTTCCAAACTAGGATATACCTTACCTTTGATAAGCTGTTGCTGCTTGAACAAAATCTTTCGTATTTCATTTAGCCAGGCCATCTTCAGATCAACTGTTTGAGCCTAACAGAAGATGGTATTATCGAAAATCAAAATGCCTCTTTGGAATCTGGTACCAACCATTCAAAGAACCTCAATTCATCTGTCAAGAGGGGCATTTGCATGTATAGATGGGCGTATGCCCCCCAAATCAACTCACACCAAGGAAATGGTCATGATCTTGCCAACTACGATGAAAATTGAAATGATCTTATGGAACTTATTTGGCAAAGTTTGATATCATGCCAACTTTATTTGGGGCCTGTTAATCCTATGGAGGGCCAAGATCTTGCTGGTTTGCCTCCCACAGGCGAATGTTTTGTTTCGGTTTCAGAAATTCCAGATGTTTGCCCCTCAGTTTCAACGTTATGGTGATATGGGAGGAAGACTACCTGCACGACGTAGACTTCCTCCCGGCCGCTGTACCAGATCTCAAACTTGCGAGGATCTCCTTTCATGTTTTCCGTGATTCCGACAGCGTTCATCTAAAAGAAGAAGAAAAAGAAAGGAATCCACGTGCAGAACTTGAAGGGACCATCCTGCTGTGACCTTTCTTCCATACTCTAGCTTTTAATTCAAAAGATGTATTGTTTTGAGGCTTCAGTTTCCATTTTGGTATGTTTCCAGCCTCAAAATGACAGCAAAGCCTTCAGGAATCACAGCCTTTGGGGACTGCCAATTTTTTTTTTTTTAATGTAACTTGTGGGCTAAAAAAAAAAAATGCCCATCTCTGGTTTAGCAAGGATGATCTAGTCCTCTTCACATGACGTGTTTAACTAGATTTGTATGTTGCATCCACACTATCCCAGTTCATTAAACCCCATGCCTTCCCCAGGGTGGGGTTAGATTGAGCCCTAAGCAGCTAAGCAAGTCTGTTTGGGGATAAACTAACTACTCTCAGCTAACCAGGTTGGACAAACAACTGGGAGGTTTAAACCCCACCCCCCCTTCCCAAGTTTGAGGCAGGGGTGGTCTCCTGGGGCAGCTCTACAAAAGTAGTGGGATTTCTGTCCTTTTTCTCCTTCTGTTTTGATCCCTCAGTGGCCCCAGAGATCCAAAGCATTGGAAGGGATCTTAAAGGTCACCTAGTGCAACCCTCTGCTGGGTGCAGGATCCACTACAGCATCTCAGACAGATGACCAGCCAACCTGTGTTTGAAGCCCTGCAGTGAAGTCACCCTTTTACCTGGCAGCCTGTTCTGCTGGTTGACAGGAAGTTTTTCTTTACCTCCAGACTGAACCTCCTTCACTGCAGCATTAACAGGGTTGTGTTACAGGTCCCTCCTATGAAGGAGGTCCATCTAGTGGGACCGAGAAGGGCCTTCTCCATGGTGGCTTCCTCCCTGTGGAACACCATCCCCGTGGAGATAAGACTGGCCCCCACCTTGATGCTCTTCCGCAAGGCCCTGAAGACTTGGTTTTGCCAGCAGGCCTGGGGATCCCAGGTCAACCTGCAGCCCATCAAATGGCTAATGTAAAGGTTTTGTTGTCACCGGGGTGGGGGTGGAGTCAGTTTTGCATTTGGGATTTGTATTCCTGTAAGCTGCCCGGAGTCACCGTGAGTGAGTTGCGCAGCCATATAAATATAAATAATTACCCCCCCAGCCCTATCCTGTCCTCGTGAAGAATTAGTCCACTCTCTCTTCTACTGACCCCCTCCCTTCAAATATATCTGAAGATAGGTGGGGTGGGATGGAAGAAGAGCGGAATGAGGAGAACATCCACCCCCCCAACTTGAGTGATGCTGACCCTCGTGGTATCCCCACCAAGTTTTCCTTCTATTTCTTCTTTATTTTTTTAAGCCAGGAAAAGTTGGGCAAATTGAAAACTTGGCTGACTTGACTAGTTATTCCAGCCTGCAGGCTGCCCACGCACCAGGCTGAGTCATTGGCCGGGGCAGCGGACGGCACGATGAGTCATGCCATGCAAGACTGGCCCCGAAGCTGCCTTTTCAGAGCTCCTCCGTTGCGTCTCAACCCCTGAATGTCCCTTTCAAGCCGGATAAACAAGGCTCCCTATAAATATGAATGGCTATGTTCAGTTCAGAGCTCCTATCGCGCTTGTGAATGAACATCCTGTACTATCTGTACGCAGAAAACAATTCGGGCAGGAGGACTGAAGCTTTAAACAAACGGGACCATCTGGGGAACCGTCTGTTCCCTCTTTTCCCTCCACTTTGGACATGGCTTTCAGCCGCCGTGATCGATGGCTCGGGGAACGACTGGCCAATCAGGAGCTGGTTTCTGCAAATAAGGCTTCCAGGCACGGCTGGGCAGACAAATGGGCCCATCAGCTGGAGGCTGCTGAAGGAGCCGGCTGACATCACCAGATGCCGAGAACAGCAAGGCAGAAAACTGCAGATCCTTTTTCCTGTCCTCTTTCCAAGAAGGGACTTCCAGGTTTTAGTGGACAGATAAACCAGGAAAAAAGAATGCATTTGCGAGCAAAGCCAGAGAGAGGCAGGGAGGGGAAGGAGGACGAAATGAGGGGGAAGGTCTGACGGGGAGCACAGCTGCTCTCCATGCTTTTGCCTCCCACCATGGAAAGGGGGAAGCTGTGCAGTCTTTCCACAAAGAGGACTGCGCTTTCAATGGTGCTAAAAGCCTGGCCAAAGGCACCAGGATGCACGTTTAGGACACCAGCGTTGAGAAAAGTAGGCAAGATTCTAGTCCTCATGAATGGAGAGAAAGGTTAGCAGGAGGTGGAGAGCATCTGCCAGGGAGGAACGCGGGAAGCACTTTCATCCGGTTTGCGCAGTTCCCCCAAGAGACATCTTTCGGGTCCCCCTTGCTGCAGAGCAGAATTCCGCGCTGGTATCGAGCGGAGCGGGCTTTACATATTTTTTTGATCTACATCTCTTCGAAGGCCTGCTCTGCGGCTGATGCTCTCCACCCCTCCACTGAAAATGAAATTGCGACGCGGGAAGCCGCAGCTTTCTGAGCGCTAAGTGTGTCCTTACTTTCAAAAAGTGCTTAAAGCTGTAGGACAACCGCTTGTCAAAGCCGTCGCAGTGGTCCTCCCTTTTCTTGCAGAAGACGAGGGCTTTCTCATAGAGGAAAAGGTGCCTTTGCATCGGCTTGAACCGGGCCAGATCCTTCATCTTTGTAGGGCCTTTCCGGTGCCCCACCCACACGCTGAAGGACCCCTGCATCAACACTTTGCCAAGCGCACTGAGGTCGCCCTGGAAAGAGAAGAGATTTGTGCCAGGCCCTTTCTTTCCAATGCTGGAATTTCCTCCGAAACAAAAATCCTGGTTTGCAGAAAACAAACCCTGAAAACAATGCAGTAAGGAGGGACAGGTAGTCCTCACTTAATGATGGTTTGTTAAGCAACCATCGAAGTTACAACGGCGCTGAAAAAGTAACTTACGACTGGTCCTTGCACTTATGACTGTCACAGCGCCCCTGCGGTCTTGGGACTGCAATCTGGACACTTGGCAACCCACTCACACTTATGATGGTTGCAGGGTCCCGGGGTCATGTGATTGCCATTTGCAACCTTCCCAGCCAGCTTCTGGCAAGCATAATCAATGGGGAACTGCATGAATCGCTTAACAACCATGTGATTTGTTTAACAACCACCACAAAAAAATGTTATAAAATCAGATGTGGTCATGTGATGCCTCGCTTAATGACCACCCCACTTAACAATGAATTTTACAGTCCCTATTATGGTCGTTAAGCGAGGACTACCTGTAAAGAAAAAGTAATGGACAGCACAATGCATTCCCATTCTTTTTGCATCTGCATCCCCTTCAATTTATTGATATGGAAGTTAGGAAATAGCTGGCAGTCCCTATCTTTGACCCATTCCTACCCTTGCAAAAGAAGACTTCACTTCCCCACCCTGATCCTACGGAATGGCATTAGCAAGCCCTCTTCTCTGAGACAAGCTTACATCGTAGCCAGTGATGGAAATCTCATGCATGGAGTCATTGACCGACTTGACCAAATCCAGCATGGCAACTAAGGCCTCTTGCAATTCCTGCACCCCATCGCAGCTTGTGCTGTACTTCAGCAGTTCCTGCAAATAAATATATATATGTATAGAGAGAGAGTTGGTTAATTCTTTTCCCAAGGGCCGTAATCTTGAAAAAATTCGCACTAGCTATTTCTCAAGGGAATTCCCTGCAGATTCAAAAAACAGCTTTTGGAAAACAAGAGAGTCCATCTGGGCTGTACTACTGTATTTATTGCACCGAAGAGGTATTTATCTCACGTGCATACAACTCCAAGCGGTGTACAGGATTAAAATATCTCGTGCACAAGATTTTTGAAAAGAAAATCAGGCTCTAGAATAACAGCAAAAAATTAGAAATGATGAGCCAGGAGCCAAAAGCAGGTAAAAGCAGCCCTATTGTAAGTGAATAAACATGTTTTCAACATGCACTGAATTTGACATAATATGGGCTCCAGTTCCTGAACAGGATGAGATGGTGGATGGTGGACTTCTTCCTCTTTCTAATACTTTGAGAGATTGTCTTGCCCATCCACCTGTAACTGCTACTCAAAGGAGCAAAACGAACACATGAATCTACATTGTGAATTTATCCCAAACACAGTAGGTGGCTCTTCTCAGCTAGGAAAAGAGAAGACCAATAAAGAATGCACAAGGATCAAGTGGAAATTTCACTTGGGTCTTCCTTTGTTTTCCGAGATGTCTTCTAGCCATTCTGGTTTTTCCTCCTCGAAAGTACATCAATTCTACCTTGCCACTTATGGGGCAGTTTTTGTGTAGGGTGTTATGTGCTATGAGCCCTCTTTCTCAGCAACATCCTCCAGGAGGGCGGAAGAAGATTCAACATGGATCCAGAGCCCCTTTTATAGATCTCGGCCAACAGTCCCCCTACCTTGAGAAGCAGCTGGTACTTGGTTAACCTCTGCACCGGTTTGAGCAAGTAGGAATCCAGACTGAGCTTGTGTTCTAGCTTTTTCTGGCACTCCTGCAGAAGAAAGAGAACTCCTTTTCCATTCAGAACACAGGCACCCATCTTCCTTAACCTGGATGTCCCCCAAATGGGTGGACTGCAGATCCCAGAACTCCTCAATCAGAAGGGCCCCTGTTGACAATTCTGGGATTTAAAGTTCACCCACAGCCAGGTTTGGAATCTGAAGTCTACAATTCTTGAGAAGACCACATTAATACAAAAACTGAGGATGCAGGCCTGTTCTCTAAACTCAGGATTAAATAAGACTGGCTGCCAAATAAACGTTTACCAGCTCCAATGCTTTGTCTTCAGTGAGTCCCACCTTAAATCCTTGGCAGCTCCTCCACTTATTCAATTGATATGGCTGCCCATCTTAAACAAGGGACTCTGGGTAGCTCACAACAATTGATTGATTGATTGATTGATTGATTGATTATGTGCCATCAAATTGGTGTTGACTCTTAGACACCACATAGATGTTCTCCATGATGATCTGTCCCTAACAACAGTTAACACTGACAACTACAAACACCCAGACATATACAAACCAAATAAAATAAATAAACAATTAGCTGTTGAGATAAAAACATCAATCGCCATCAATAAAACTATCTCAATGCACCCATTTCACAGGCTCCAACCAATGCTCTGATCCAGGAACATAGCCACATCCTCAGGGCTTTGCAAAAGCCCAGTAAGGTTGGGCCAGCCTAATGACTGCAAACTCTTTTCAGCTTAATGCCTGTCCATCTCACGGGGTGGCCGAGGCGTTCCTCATTTGAAATCACCTGAAATCTTGAGCAGTGTGAGCCAGCTTCCCCCCAAGACCTTTCAGGAGAATGCTGAAACCTTGCACAATCTCACACAAAATTTTGGCATTCTTACACACAGGTGAGCACACTGGTTCCATGCAAGAACAGCCAACTCTCACAAAATGTCAAGGTCTCATGAGACCTGAATCATATTTAATTAAAACAAATGATCATCATTATCATTTCATTTCATTTCATTTCATTTCATTTCATTTCATTTCATTTCATTTCAGGAGCTGCTGGCCTTATTTAGCATGTCCACAAAACCCTGGATCAATGCCTTCAGCAAACAACAACATAAGTCAGGGTCCCCCCCCCCCGCAAAAATATCTGAAACAATCAAATTCTAAACCCCACAATCAGGGTTGTCTCCTTATCCCCCTCCCTCCCCCTCTTATACACAAGG